CTCGAACCCGCAACCTTTGGGTTACGAGTCCGACTCTCTAACCATTAGGCCACGACTTCCCCAATGGTTCGTCAGCCAATCAGATTCAAGCATTCAACGGCCGCGTAGTATGAATTGCTTTTAATGCACCTAGCTGTCATAGTATTGCAGCTTTTTGATAAAATGTGAATATGAAAATTGCTTATGTTCATTTAAACACAGTTTACAACAAAATATATTTTAAAAATGTACTATTTTGTACATGCTCTTGATTTTTTAATTATTGTAGGTACACAAATGACAGTTTGCAGCTTGTTCAGACTTCATTTATATTTACAGAATTCACCTTAACATTTTGCTTAGAAAAAAAAAACATACAAAAAGGTATGTAATGTTTGTAAATGATTAACCATTGTGTTTACTGTACTTTATGACGGTGCCAAGTACGCTCTGCATGACACTTTATTACATACTTCATTACTCCATACACCATTGTTGCTGATACTATTGCTATAATTCTCCTTAAACGTGCTTTACTTTGTGTCTCCTGTAGTACTGTTCAGTGTTTGGTTTCCATACAGGATGCACATAGTGTGTATTTGTGAAGTTAGAAGTGAACTGTCATTTCATTTCACTTTATATGCGAATATGACTAAAACAAAACATACCTCAACTAACCGTACTTTATCTTCCCAGGCAGACTTCAGCCCCCAAAAAAATGCTCGAAAAGCAAAGCCACACGTCTGTAAAAAAGAGCACATTGCAATAAAAGATCTGAAGGCAAAAGATGAGATAAAACATCGACATATGAATAAAACATATCTTCCGAAAGACATCCCTGTTTATCCTTCTCCTGTTGAATTTCACATCACAGAAGTAGCTCATGTCACTAACAAGACGAGCCTTATGGACATCTGGAAGTCAGAGGGATTCATGGGTCTTGATGGAGATTCGTTTTCATGGTGGAGCCTGAAGATTAATGAAGCGGATATAAGAGCAGCTGAGGAGCGTTACCTCGAGAAATTGTTCCCAGACATAACCAAAGAACAAAAAACAGCTCATCCGCCGTTCCTGAGTAAATTCACCACATCACCCTTGTTCCTGAACGAATTCTCACGCTACGGTAACTTCCGCTTCACCTTTCCTCTGACTGAGCTGATGGAAGCCTACAAGAAGCAGAAGTGTGAGGGTCAAGAGCCAGTTCTCCGGATCTACGGGACCAAACTGTTCAAGCAGGAGATTGAGTATGTTGTTCTCGTTCACAGCCCTCTGGTTAATACGCTGTTCAGTCAATTTCCAAAGCTAACACACAGCCCATGGGTTGCTTATGATGGACATCAAATCATCTGGAGAGCTCAAGCCATTTGTGAAACTCACAACTTCCAACTGGTAATCAGTGGAAACACAGCAGTGGCAGAACCCATGTATGCACATCAGTTTTATGTGTGGGATCATGTTAGCCTTGTCTTTTACGCCGAAGACGTCCTGACCTTCCCTACAAGAAGGCTTAAGGCAAGCCTCAGTTGTTGTGATCTGGATCCAAATGTAGACCTTTCAAATGGGGAAAACTGCTCTTCACTTGCTGAAGCTGAGGAATTCAGTGAAAGATTGCCAGAAGATGAATCTGAAAAAGAAGATGAAAAAGAAGAAGATAAATCAGTGGAGGTGAAAATGGAAAAGGACTAAAGGAGTGCAAGTTCTGTAAGAACTTTTACAGTTTGGTGGCTTTGTATGGTTTTGCCCTTTGTTAAAAATAGCTTGAGAATAAATAAGTAAATAAGATAAACAAATATATAAAAGGTGGGGGTGATTTTTAACATGTGTGTTACTTGTCATTGAGAGGCTATAATGAGTAAAAAAAAAAAAAAAACACTTTGAAACTGTCTGAATATTGCATGATGTGGTTGAATATATATATTTTTTTTTCCAAACTTAAAATGCTCTCTGTTTTAGAGTCTCACAAAGATTACAATTAAGCTTTTACTTTGTATCGTTGTGCTGCCAATTGCCCAGCATGCCTTGCGACTTCTCCCTGTGTATTGATAATTGTGCCAATAAAGCATATGGTGCGACACAGAATGTGAACCTGGTTGTGATCAGCAGCAGTTTCACAGGTTTGTTTGATGAGGTCACGTTTCCAGACCCTGTTCCAGCACATTGACTGGAGCCTCCAGCGCCTCCTGCAGGAAACATGACAAAACTACACCTTCTGAAGAACATATATATATATATAAATAAATAAACACAAGGAGCAAGGATGAAAACAAATATGTAGTCGATGTAGACATTATACAGAAAAAAGATACTAAAGTAATAAATAATTTGACAAAGAGAAGTATAACTTTTCAGATTTTCTATTATGTTTTTTTTTTA